CTATACGACGACCACCACCACCATAATTAATACATAAATTAAAAGTTTATTATATAATTATTTTAATATTATTTATATATATATATATACCTACATAATTTATTTTTAATAATCAATTAATAATTGAATTTTTTTTAAATCCATCCCCTCTCATCACATACTTCTTAAAAACTGTAAACAAAAACAAAACAAAAAAAAAACAGCAAAAAACAAAAAATATTTTTTTTATCAATATTAATAACTATATATATATATATATATATATATACATATATATATAGATCTGCCACTACTGCACTACAATCACTATACGACGACCACCACCACCATAATTAATACATAAATTAAAAGTTTATTATATAATTATTGAGCTCTCAGATAATGTTTGTCAAAATACATACCCGACACAACAGAGCTGTTAATTAGCAATGAAATAACAAAAACCAAACTCAAAATTTCCAACATTGCAGGTTGATTTGTTTTAACAACTATAAATGTAGACTTCTACGTTTGATTCAAGTTGCCGACGAATAGCGATTGAAACCACTAATGGTTTTAAGTTAGATGATTGCACTAAATCACTATTAATATAGTCGCTAGATATAAGCACACAATGATGCAAGTCGCCTGGAACAACGGCAGTTTGATGATGGCAGATTTCGACTCTACTTGACGGAGCCCATCTCCTTGTGAAAGATTACCTCTCAACAAAATCAAATTAAAAATATTTAATTCAAAAATTACGAAATAATACCATGTGTGTGTTACAGTTTTTTCATTCCACTTGACCAAACAACTTCAATAACAATAATTTATGCGATATAATAATAATAATAATAATAATAATAATAATAATAAATAATAATAATAATAATAATAATAATAATAGAGATAGATAGATAGATAGATAGATAGATAGATAGATAGATAGATAGATAGATAGATAGATAGATAGATTTATATAGTGCAAATAAACGAGGCCTCTGTAAGCTTGACAATATTGAAGTAAAGGAAACAAAGAAAAAGCCGGAAAAAATAAGAAAACAAAACAATAAACACCAAGCTAGCACCCAAACCGAAGTATGGGTTACACCATCACCGCCAAACGGAGATCTGTGTTGATGTACTCCGGTTAGTATCGGTTAAGTCTTGATCTTTTCTGGGATCAGGTGCCGCCTAACCTGGAACAAACAACACTAGCTAGCAAGGTGAAACAGAGAAATAGAAAAAAAAAATCATTACCGGATTCACTTGTTTCATCATTGACGATTCAGGCTTCACCATCAACGATTCACTTGTTTTATCATCGACGATTCACTTGTTTTCTCATCTACGATTGACTTGTTGCATCATCGACTATTTACTTTTTTCATCATCGACGATTCAATTTTTATCATTGACGATTCATTTTTTTTTCTTTGTCGGTGGTTCACTTTTTATCATAGAGTGGCAAAGACAAGCCAAACCAGTCACTCGTCGCAAAAACCGATTTTGAGTTATTATACAGTGTTAGAGAGTAAAATAATAGCTATAAAATGGTAAAAAAAATCATTCAAATCGGACATTTCCTTATGAAGTTACAAGCGTTTAACCACACAGGTGGCTGTTTAAAGAACAATATATGAGAAATCAGCCTTCAAAGTTTATGATTTCAGGCATTTCTAATGCAGAAACTATCTTTAAATCCTTAAAAAGTGTTGTTTTAACATTGAAAATGGGGAAAATAGCGGCATAGGATGGTGTGTAGACATATAAAGTTTAGTTTAGTGCAATAAAATAGATTCTTAAAAATTTGACATTTTAGCATGTTTTGCGACGAGTGACTGGTTTGGCTTGTCTTTGCCACAGATTCATTTTTTACTTTATCGTCAACGATTTACTTTTTTCAACATCGACGATTTACTTTTTTCATCATCGACGGTTCACTGGTTATCGTCGAATTGTACGGCGTTCCATATCTGCCTGCTCATGCGCTTATCATCAGCAACAACACTTAATCAAGTGGACCAACATGGAACAAAAGCACCTTTTTTTTAAGTTAGTGTTACCAAATAGAGCAGTCAAGCATGAACATAATGAAAGTCATGCTTTTAATTTTTTTAACAGGATCGATTGTTATTATTGTAACTTAGCACACAATGACTAGATAAAATTTGAAACGCCTGAAGCTGCAGCATTGTAATATTTTAAACAATGACTTTAATTGGTTGCGCTGTAAATATCACGTTCGAGTGTTATTAGTAGATTCGATTAAATGTATAATTTAACATTATAATTAAATGATTAAGGAAAAAATATTCGCTACGATTCATCTCCCAGACGACTGCACAAACAAAAGAAATCGTAAAGCTATTCTATTCGGAGTCTTACCATTAAGGTCATTCTTAATTTCTGTTTATGCCAATTTTACTTTTACACTCAAATTTACAAAATACTGAACGAATGGTTGTCACGCTACAAAAGGAACACATGCGACAATTATCTTTTAAAATCAAGTTAATAAAGATACAAATTCTTATGTTTAAAGTTAATTAAATATAATTATATATATATATATATATATATATAATATAAAGGACATGATGTTCTGTAATTAAATACATTGTGTATGCGTCATACCTTTCTTTGATTATATATATATATATATATATATATACATATTTATATATATATATATATATAGAGAGAGAGAGGGGGGGGGAGAGTCTGCTAATGTAGAAAATACATATAATTTTGTTTTATCTCAGACATTAGTCTCAGTTACTAAGTGAAAACTCAATCAAGTGTGATGGTGGGGAACTATTGATGTTTTTGAAACCTAATACTGCACCTTAATTTTCTACCTTTAAAACACCTTGTCTAGTTGACATGACAACCATAACCCATGAGCATTCAAGGAGCTGGGGGTGTTCTCTTGTGAGTGATGAGGAGCCATACAATTTGGAGGAGCAGGTATTGGTCAGGTGGTGAAAACTGGGATTACAGTAATGCACCAATAGTTGTATTGATCCAACGGCCCCCGTCGCTTTTCTTGATGAGCCGTGCAGAATAGTTGCCGAACAAGAGTCAGTGCTTTCTTTCTCTATTGGTGGGATGGGTATGTTATTAAAAAAATGGTTCTGAAGGGTATAATCTCCAGCTTAAATAAAACCAGATCAATCTAGTGATTGGCTGTATTCGACTGGTCGTTCTTCGTTAAACCACGCCCACCTGCGCTGGACTAGTGGTAAAATCCTGCTTAACGAAGACGACCAGTCGAATAGAAAAATGGTAAATACTCGACAAAACAAAATGACTGCATAGTTACCGCGATACACGCTGAGTAATCAAGGCTGCTTCGGATTGTGGCAGTATAAGTTTTTCGTTAAAAAAATGTTTTCATCGAGTTTTTGATTTCTGTAATAGCCAACACTTATTTTTTTACTTCAATGTGGGTAAATATTACAATTTTTATTTTCCGAAATTTAATCTAAATTATATTACGCAAATGTAGTTGTTAAACTGAACAATCGACCATATTTTATTGGTCAGGTGCATAACTTAACGCTGATTAACGCATTCTGATTACGTTAATTTTCGTTGTCAACGCAGTCTTATTTTACGAACCAGTCGAATGAAAATAATACTCAACGAAAATGTGTACTCAACGTAATGAACCAGTCGAATAAGCCCATTGATTGACTGGATGAATATTCTAGATGATTAATACCGCAACATTGGCGACGTTTATCATCAAATACAACTCTAACGTAATTTTATTGTAAATAATGCAAACCATAATAAGATTCCGTAATATAATATAAGCAAAGAGTATAAATAGAACAAGAGAGCCAACAACGCTCATTGGGAGCGTAAAAAAACGATACGCTCTACGCAGCTAGTGTAGGACGCCAACTAACGCTTGTATATGTTTTATTACCCGGTACTGCACCGCGCACTGTAGGTTTGTCTGTTTATCTGTTCTCCACAAGATACTGTGCTTTTGTTTTCTGCTTACTGAGTTTATAGCGGGCGTACTTCTACCGCGCTGCGCAGCGCTGCACTGGGTACGCGCTGCGCAGCCCTGCACTGGGTAATAAAAAGAATATACAACCGTTAGTTGGCGTCCTACACAGGCATGACGTTTTTACGAACTGGACTTTGCTCTCTTGTTCTATTTATACTCTTTAATATAAGTGACAAAAAAATCTAGTGCTAGTCGAAAGCTAAACCATGAGCTATAATGGAATATATGATGTCAAATAAATGTTTTTCAAATAAACTCTTACATTTAAGCTGTTTTATGTGTGAAGTATTAGCTAATTCCTTTTGAACTTAATTTTAATGAACAGTTATTGTGAACTGTAATTTTTACATATTCCGCTCAGTTCATATCAATGCATATAAATATCTGTGTTACTATTTGAACAAACTTTAAAATAGGAGTCGGTAAAGTTATGGAAATTCATGATCAACTTTGTGAAAGATTGACTTCTGGGTTCAACATAATTAGGGTAACAAATTTAAGTTGTGTTTATTAATAATGCTAACTTTCACAGTAATTGTGTTTTGTTTAATTATTGTAACAAAAGTACGTATAATACGAGCAAGACTGTGGTGTCCAGTGACAGTTTAAAACCAAACCCTATTGACGTGATGAGTCTCTGGAGAATTCGCCAATCACCGGTCCAGATCCATATTAAATTACTGATTTTGGAAATTACTTAGTATCATATAATTAAAACTGTTTGTAGGTGCGAAAATAACAATTTCCAATTAGGATTGTGCCAGTGATAATTGAGCAAATATTTAAATGCAGTAAATATAGTATCCGAACTATTTCGGATAGTAGACTTATTCCGGTAATAACCACCTATATAAAATATTTGAACATGATTATTTCGACCTATATTTGGCCTATATTAAATTGTCTCCTGGTATCTCGAGAATCACTCAAATGTGTCTGTCAAAAACGGGTAAAAATGTCAATACCATTTATAATTCTAAACACCTGAATCATGTCACCTTTAAAACAGGAAATACCTTTGTTGCTCTTTCTTGACAGCAATTCAATGATTTTGTTAATCCTACATGTGAGGCGCGACGACGAATTCTAAAATAAGACAAACTAAAAAATTGTAGAATATTAAAAACATGTCCTTGTCATTATAGGTGACAGATTATTTTATAAGAACTACCATTGTATTAATTTATTACAAATTTGGAAATATTTATATGCTCTAAAAATTTTTAATCTCTTTTTCTATTCTTCCTTCTTCCTTTATTCTTTCACAATTTTGCGTTTATTCATATTTTTCATAATTTTATTCACTCATATAATCACTTGGCTAGACTTTGGCTATGACTATTGCTATATTATTTAAATATACAATTTTAATAGATAAGATTAATTTAACATGGACATAGTAATTCATATTTAAATACATTAAATTTAAATACAAATATGATAACGTTAACGAATAAATAACAATAATCAAATTGTATCACTACTACAGTAATAAGATTAATATTTTTCAATCTATAAAGCCGAAGTTAGTATTGACCTAGGCTACTACGGCTAACGACAGGTACGCTTTCTCCAATATAAAGGGTTTTTCTATGAATGGAATGACCTGTACGAAACATGAACTCCTGTAGACCAAAGCAGTACCGTTACGATTTTAATCATGCGGAAAATATCCTCAAGATCCATTAAAGTTTCCACAATGAACCTTTCCTAAGTATCATTCAAACTTAACAACTGACCAATTAAAGCCAGGCATACGAGCGTGCCTCACAAACACGCATGTTGTCTCCCGGAAACGCAAGTGTTTGCGTATGGTCTCCCTCTAATTAAAGACCACTTTTGGGACCGGGGTTTCCATGGTCTTTAGCAGCTTTGGTCTCCAATTAGAATTATAAACACGAATTTCTTTATTGGTTTCAATAAAAAAGAATAATAAACGAATTTGTATTTATATTACTAGTAACACAGAAATTTTCCATAATACAGGATAATCGGTTCTAAAGAATGATGCTTGTTAGAACGAAACACGAAGCACACACGATCTAAATTTATTATACATTTCCAGAGTCATTAAATTAATTTAGCGATTGACCTATAAGGACACTATTAATCATGCGCATGTCTCATAAACTCACGCAAGTCCAGACTGTTAAGACCTTAGCAACAGTATCCAAAGCCGGGAAAGCCCCATTTCAACAATACTGAAAGGCAACAAAATGTCCATTGTTACTGCAGGTATAAAAGTGGCATTCTCCATCGTATCTAAAGTACTTGCATTCTAGCGCCCTCATACACGCCACAGCACATCTAATGCAGCTTCTTGTTGTGTTTTCGGTCGTTATTAAACATTGTAGATTACGATGAAAAGACTTGTAATAAGTTGAGTTTCCGACCAACTTTGGGCATACTAGGCCTACACAAAAAAAAAATAAAAGTGGTACAGTAAATAAAATAAACTATACTAAAATAAACATTTAAGTATAATTAGTATTTAAATAATACTTTAGAAGTTTAAAATTTTTTTCGTAATCATAATCAAAATATTCAACACCATTTATTGTAATTTATGATCAAAATTTGACAAAACAGTTATCATTGTCATTATCATAATCACTGTCGTCGACACTATAATAACGTACTCAATTTTTATTACAATCATACAGTATATTGTTTTAATTCATCTGCTTAGCAGTATCCACAAATATTATGAAATATACAATTACCATCATCACGGTTCTACTAATTTTTAATTAAAATTTAATTGTTATATTGTTTTGATGTACCTGCTGAGCATCCAAGAACCTCAAATCTTAAACTAATCCAGTTATGCCAGCCAGTTGGATGAATACGGACGAATTGAGCAAAGACAGGGTCAGCAAATATGTTTGTCACGTAAGTGTCTCGATTCGAATTTCCAACAAAATTCTATAAATATCACATAATCATCAGGTCAACATTGAGTTCTAAACACATTATTCGAATACAACCGTACAGTAATTAGGGCCTAATGTCAATCAAAAAAAAATAAATTAAAAAAACAATTTAATAATTATAATTGAGTATATTGTAAATAAAATCATAATGACACTTACAGTTACTTGACAATCTGAATTCCTGATAGGTTGAAAAAAGTTACCATCGACACTGTAAAGTATCTCATAAGATGTCACCCATTGATTATACGTGTAGATGTATTCGTTGCGGCCTTGTGTAATTATTCCGCGTACCTCATGTAGCTTACCGAGGTCAACCTGGATCCACTGGTATTGGTCTTCGGATTTTGAAGACCATGCTCCTATCCCCCAATTATCTGCTTCGGTGTGTAGTCGTCCACGATGTGCCCCGTGCCTTAAAGCGAATTTACTGGATGCTGACAGTTGTTCAGCTGGAATAGTTCCATCTTCAATGCCAAGAGGATCGATACACAACTCTGAGATAGAATATTATTATAATAGCAGACAAATCTCCATAGAAATTCCTGTCCTTTTCCCCTATAAGCATTTTGCATAATTTTCGATATTTTTTTCTATAGTTAAATTTTATACAGAAAAATATAAACAACAAAAAAATAATATTATATTTTATTTTTTCTATTCTGTATATGATTCTTCACATGATATACAATGGAGTATTGAAAATTAAATTTAAAATTAATTATTAATTAATTAATCTAATTTTAATTTAATTTAAAATGCATTTAAATCTAAAAATTCAAAATGTATGTTATGTGTGTGTGTGTGCGTGTTTGTGTGGGTGTGTGTGTATATGCCTACATAATTTATTTTAATAATAATTATTGATTGAAGATTTTTAAAAAAAATCCATCCCCTCTCATCACATACTTCTTAAAAACTATAAACAATATACATTGTATTTAAATTGTTGCATCTTCTCTTTGTATACAACTGAACGAGTTAATATGAAGGGGTTTTTTTTATCAATATTATGAACTGTATATATACTTTATTATTATTGATGATAGTCAATTATTGCTTCATTTTAAAAATCCAATCCACACTGTTCACATACAAAAACTGAAGCTTATACATGAGAGCTCACAAGAGATTCTTTTGTTTAGAGATTTTATTACTGACAAATCACAATGTGATAAGGCTTTTCATTGATACTGGTATTCCTAAATATCGTATCCTATCCTGTTCTTTTTTTCATTTTTAAGAAAATGAATTTAATACGTTTTTAGCGTTAAAAATATTTAATTTACCAATGATTTAAAATAAAAAATAAATAAATAAATAAATACAGTACATAAGTAACTATGCATCATTGGGTAGAGATGTCACTCAACTAAGGTCAAGACCAGCATAACCCACCCTAAACAAACTATGCTTTACAATGGACACAAATAAATGAAGTGGTTTTAAGTAAACTTTTTTTACAATTTCTTGGACGAAAAATAGTTTAAAAGGAATACTACTACCACCGCTACTACCACCACCAACAAAAAACCAAAACCACCACCACTGCCAATACCACTACCACTACTACTACTACTACTGCTGCTGCTGCTGCTGCTGCTGCTGCTGACACTACTACTTAGGCCTACTACTACCACCACTATATTGGCGGATCTAGGATTTAGCAATGGAGAGTGGATAATGCAAGGCTTGAATGTTTTCTTTTTGTTATTTTTTTTTTTTTTTGCGGTAACCGAGCGTGTATGGCCAGGCACCCTGTCCACCCCTCTAGATCTGCCATTGCACTACAACTACTATACTACGACCACCTCCACCACCATAATTATTATATAAATTAAAAGTTTATTATATAATTATTGAGCTCTCAGATAATGTTTATGAAAATGATACATACCCGACACAACAGAGCTGTTAATTAGCAATGAAATAACAAAAAACAAACTCAAAATTTCCAACATTTCAGGTTTTTTGGTTTTAACAACTATAAATTTAGACTTCTGCGTTTGATTCAAGTTGCTGGCGAATAGGATTGAAACCACTAATGGTTTTAAATTATATTATTGTGCTGAATCAATATTAATATTGTCGCCAGATATAAGCACACAATGATGCAAAATCGTAATATTTAACTGCCTTGAGCAACGGCAGTTTAATGGTTGATAATTGGTTGCGCTGTAAAAATCACGTTCGAGTGTTATTAATAGATTCGATTAAATGTATAATTTATCATTATAATTATTTGATTAAGTAAAAAATATTCGTTACGATTCATCTCCCAGACGACTGCATTAACAAAAGAAATATATCGTAACGCTATCCTATTTTGAGTCTTACCATTAAGGTCATTCTTAATTTCTGTTTTTACACTATTTTACTTCTACACTAACTCAAATTTACTACAAACCACAAAAGCAACACATGTGACAATTATCTATTAAAATTAAGTTAATATAGATACAAATCTTATGTTTAAAGTTAATTAAATATAATTATATAATATATAATATATGATTAATGAAATTTAAATACAGTGTTCGAATAAAGGACATGTTGGTACATCACGATGAAGGTTGTTCTGTAAATAAATTGTGTATGCGTCATACCTTTCTTTGATTATATAAATATATATATATATATATATATATATACTTTATATATATATAGTATATATATATATATATACTTCATATATATATAAAGTAAAGACAATAAGATTGACTTGGTAGACTTGAAACACTAAATTTATTATTCACTTTAATATTTCGGCCTGTCCTCAGGCCTTCTTCAGCATGACTGACAAACATTATGTAAGTTGGCTTTTACAAAAATATCGATATAATATAAAGAATAAATTTATTGGTCTAAAATTTTAACAAAGTATAATGCATATGGTGATAGGCTAAAAAATACTAGGAGGCGGAGTAAATAACGAATAAACTAATTTGGAGGTATAATAGTAATGAAGCGTGTATGGGAATGTTTATCCCAGTCAACAATTTCAAGGAATGAGATAAACCAAAATTGACAATAAAGGAGCCGCTCTGATAACGATGAAGCTAAACCTAAGTAAAGTATACACAGTACTAAAGTAATGATTAAGAAGAGTTTAAAACAGAGGCAAAAATACGAAAATGCAAA